TCCTCACTTGTCAATATGATGTCTTGAGGGATGATGGAATCATGTATGTTTCCCGTCTTAGGGAAGCAGGAGTTCAAGTAGCACATGAACATGTTGACAATTTTTTTCATGGTGTTGTATCATTTATTACAGGCCCTTTTGCCTTAAATATAGCACAAAGAATGGCTAACAACTACATTGAGTGGCTAAATAAGAACCTGTGAAAACACACCTATACCACCTGAACATGGTTGCTTTGGATTCATTCGGTTTTATTCAATTTATATTATTTGTTTCAGGGACATTATCCTTTTGGTGAATAAAGTTGACACTGCAAGTCTGCAGTTATTATACTTGATATAGTATCTCTTGTTTCCTGCTGTTTGAATAAGTATGAGAAGCTTGATAGAATATGTGGGGGAGTTGTATAGCCATTAAATGATTAATAATTTAAAATGAAAAATAAAGCTTCTTTTGACTATTTCATATGTGAATTTATAGACTTGAATCTTGATGTTATTCAGGATTGCTTTAAAAGTCATGATTCATTTCTATACACTTTTTTGATACCGGTGAAATGTGTTCCAGTGAGTTTTCTTAGGTAATGTGTTCCTTTTGGCACGCAACCAGTATGAATATCTGGCTGCAGACCATTGTAAGTTCTTGAGTAGCATTTCATGAATAAAACCTCTTGTTTTCTCTTGATTGGATATTGCATGAATGGTGTCAAAGGACATGGGTGTGATAGTGCCTATAAATTCATCTTTGATTCAGGTTGACTTGTTGATTCAGAAAAAAAAATGAATAAAATGTTCTATGAGATATATTATGCCTGTTCTGGACCGGGTGTGCAACCATGCCAGGGACCAGTCAGCTTTAAACTTCACGCTTTAGGATTGGTGTCTTTCAGATAAATTTATTAACAGAAATTCTTAGTAGCAAACATACAGTTCAATATTAAGATACAGCTGACCTTGATCTGTCCATTGCGCGATATGAAAAAAACTATGCTTTTCCATTCCTCTGATGAAGTGGGGGTGAGGAAACATGCTTTTATCCCATTGTTCTCAATAAACACAGAAACCTCTTCACAGAGCATCTGGTCATAAATCAATTTTCCAGGGGAGAGAGACTAGGTATCCAATCAGGGAACACAGATGTGGTCAAATGTCGTGGAACTATATTTCCCAAAAGGCATCCCTGCCTATATTTACCATAAGGAGTTGTATCTCCCATGAGGTACTTTCTTAAAGGAGACAGTTCTTAATTCCTACATTAGCTATATACTATTGAGTCAGCACAATGCCACAAATACAGTACAATGAAGTACAAATAGTACTTCAATACTACTTCCCATTGTGAGTTGATGGATCACTTAGGTAGATATGCTCCTGAGGAGACTTCCTTTGATCCAGTTTTTTAATCAATCTCCAATTTTCTCTTTTTATGAGAGACAATCCAAAAATGGTGGGGCTTCAACTAGAGCACTGTAGATGAACTAGATTATCTAGATCCATTTCAGCTGAGTTTCTAACTTGGGTATGTGTTAAAGATTCTTTTTTAAGCCATATTCGATTAGATTGACCCAAACTCAAGAGATATAAAAAAAGATTTGGATGTGTAAGACAAGTATATGTCGACCAATAAGATCTCACAGGTTGGGCCTTCTCTGGGTGCCGTCGGCCGGACAATGCTGGCTGGCGACCCCTCGGGGGAGGGCCTTCTCTGTAGCTGCTCCGGCCCTATGGAATGATCTATCTGTAGAGATCCGGATCCTTTCCACTCTCTTGGCCTTCCGAAAAGCCACGAAAATCTGGCTCTTCCAGCAGGCCTGGGGCTGTTGAACAAGGTCCAGCCCCACTTAGGCGGATTATATGGGTGTGTTGTTTTAAAATTGTATTTTTTAATTGTATCTTTCTATTTTTAACTTTTAATTTTTTTTATCTTGTCTTGTAATCCGCCCAGAGTCCTACGGGATTGGACGGCATACAAATCTATTAAATTTCAATTTCAATTTCAATTTATATGTGTGCTTCCTATTACCTCTATTCTGTATTTTTATCTATTGCTATTGTTTCTATATTATTACCATATNTGTTTAAAAAAGCATTTGAAACCCACCACTGCTTCACATCCTGTTACCTACTTGCTTCTCTTCTTTGGTAGTTTTTCTTGGCAGCCTCAGTAGGAGGAGTATCATTCCAAAGAATCACTGAATGGTAGAGATTAGAACAGTTTATCCCTGCCTCAATAATGTTAGTGTTAGGTAAGCTCCCCGTTGGGAGAGCGAGTGTGTTCAGAGAAGCATTGTGAGAGTTGTGCTGGAGAACACACAAACCAGCATACAGACACACTGCAGTTTAAATAGGCTTTTACTTTTGTTGAAATAGAGATATCAGAGTCCATCAAACAGTCCAAGTCATACACCGATAAGGCAGTCAGCCATCAATGTCTTTCAGTTAAAGGATAATCCAAATAACATAGTCCATAATCATACAAACAGTCTCTTACTCAAAGTTTGCTAGCAGTTGCAAAACGTACAATAGCTCACAGCACTTACTAACAACCAGCTTCCAAGACTCAGATCAGATCAGCCCAGCATCTAACAAACAGAGAGCTACCAGTCATTCTGGCCCTTCTTATGACATTCTGTTTTCTTGAGGAAAACAGCAACCAATCACATTTTATAGTATGATTTAAAGAAACAGGTACA